ACATGTTACCACTATAGTGGAATAATACCAGGATAGAGTTGGCTTTATTGAAGGATAAATGAGAGCTTCTTCTGGAACTAGATAGGATTTTTAAATGAAAAGTTAAATGCACTCATCTATATTGATTATTTTAACAGAAAATGTATGGGGTAGTCTATTTTGATTCTTCTGTGGCATTCATCACAATCATGTCCAAGTCTGTACTTGGATAAATATATGTGAGTTAAATCAGCCTACTAAGAACTCTGCTTACTTGTACCCTTACAGTAATCACTGTAATATAAAAGTTATGGACATGTAAAACTAAAATGGGAAATTAGGCTCAGGCTGCATGGCAGTATTTAGCTCTGGCCTTGTATCATAGAAGATTGTAGAAAAAGAGTGTGTTAAAAAGATCACACAAATTCTTATACTTATGAGCAGTATCTTGTTAATCATGGTTGTTAAGCCAGATATAACCTCATCTTCAAGTCAGACCATTCTTAAAACAAAAGCTTTTGTCCTCAGTTTTATGTTTTATAGGACACAATAACATTTGGCTTATTCATGTGTTGTGGAGTTTTTTGTTATGAAAGTCTTCTTTATTTTAAAACCATATATCCTGAATTCTAGTGTGGTGCCATTGATTTATAGAAAAATGCACATTTTGATTGACAGAGAAGTTGGTTGTTTCAATAAATTCTTGAACTATATATCATATAGTTACAAATTCCTGAACAAGATCCAATAGGTAATTTCACACTAATGTAGCAGTCTTGGTGGGGTAGTTGTTTTGCATATAGGTTGTAATTCCCTCCTTCCTGTTCCCTCACGTCTTCCTGCAGAAGCACATCAGGGGCCATTCTATTTCCTTTGCGGATGACTGCTAACGCCTTGTTTTTACAGCTATTTTTCCTATCATACTTCTGTGGGTAATTTTTAAGTACCTAGGTTTGCAAATATATTGTAACCTGGGGCTTTCTGAATTACTTGATGATTTTCTGCAGGCTATGAGATAAACAGTGTCTTCTAATGTGCAGGCAAGTGTAAGAAAAAATAAACATTTTATACATAGAGAGCTATCTAAATAGCATCTCTGCTCCATATGTTGTAGTACCCACGAGAGGCTCATTATAATCCCTGGACCTTTTGTGCACCAAATACTTCAGTCCGGATAATGCTGTGCTCCATCTGCCTTAATCTCTTAGCTGCACAATGTGAAATTCTTAATGCTTTGACCTCCTATATGCTAGCATTTTTGATCTTCGATTTTTCTTGTCCGTGTTTCCATTTCAAACAAGTTTTCAAGGTTGTTTGTTTGAAGTTTGTCAGTTGTACTGAATTATTCTGTGGGTTTTTTTTTTCCCTAAACCAAGTGTAACTTACAGGTGTTGAAAAGCGTATGCATCGCTAAAGTATTTTATTCTGTTTTTTTTGTATTTGGTTTTGTTTCTTCTTTTTTTCACCACATCTTTTATGTGTTGTGGTTTGTTGATCTTATTCAAGGTGTCAAATTGGTCAGAGATCCAGAAGTATGTGTTAGGAAAATTATTTTTTTCAGCAAACAATACTTGGCTTGCCTCACTGACATGCATTTAAACATGTCATCGTAAACCAGACACTGCACTGTATTTCAGAATTTCACTCCAGAAATATGATGCTTTTAAAATCTACAGATGTTTTAAAAATGTCTAAGAGCAGAATGTTATCTTCAGGAGTGATGGCTGTCTTATGTTTTCTTTATTAAAAAACTCCAACCAGCATTTTTTCTTTTCAGGATCGTTTTTGTGTCTCCCTTTACCACCCTAAATTCTCTCTTGTGACTGCAGTAAATGCTTATCATTACTTTTTCCCCTTCTTTTCTCCTACGACCATCAAAGTTTAAGAGAAGATAACACTGAACATTTTAATCCATCAGTATGTATCAGTTGAGGATTATCCATTCACATGTCCAGTTACTGGTAGAAGTTAATGCTGCAAACTGCTTTTTCTGCTGCCTGTGTTCCAGCCCTTCCCCTGTGGCAGTGCAAGACAACTTAAAAAAGTGAGGGGAAACTTCCCGTTTACTGGCATTTGAGTGGTGAACTATGTCAACAGTTGCACGGGAACTCTGCATGCCCATTTACTTGTCTGTGCTTTTTAGAGGGGAAAGTTTATGAAACAGACCAGGCAAAAATGTGTGCACTGTTAAGTCAGATACTGAGATGTAGTAACTTACCTATGTGTTGAAAATATTTTGCTATATTAAAGGACTTGAGGTTATAGATGGACTGTTTTTAAATAGTTCTTGTCAAATTGTTTGAAATGTGTGTGAGAATTTTTGCTGTCTTTTGGGAAGAAAGGCTTCTGCTGACTGGCTCAGCTTGTGTTATGGGAAAAAGCTGTCCTTTGCTGTGGGAGGTGGGGAACCGGGAAAAGTTCAGAATGTAGCTCATCATTATAAATGAAGGATTCATCATATTGGTGTACAGGGAAAATGAAACCAGTAGTTTGATCCGTTACCAAGAGGGCAGGGGAGGAGAGGAGAAAATTCAGGACAAGTAGAGAAGTCCTTCAGTACATAAGCTGTTGTTGGTTTTGGTGGCTTTGCAAATTGATTGCTTGTAGGGGTGCTGCTGGTGCTTTTTCCCTCATGTTTTTTTTATATTGTGCCATGTAATGCTACATGTGTTCAAACCCACAAAAGTAAGACTAATTCCCAGTGTTGTCCACAGCTGCTTAATACTGCTGGTGTTGCCTTGTGCAAGTGGTGTACTGAGAATGAAGCATTTTGTCTTAGCAGTTTTAACCTGACTGCTAGATTCTCTGTCACTATTAATTAGCTTGTAGTTCTAGGAAGCATATGATTGGTCTCCTGTGGATTGTCTGACCAATTACTTCTCTTCAGATTCTGGATTTTTCTGTAGATAATAGCATGGGGCTTCTGCAAGAAGTTTATAACAATATCTGTCCATGGATTCAGTAGATAGGATGGGATGAATATTCATGTTTCATTATTAATGAAAAAGATGTTTGAGGAATTTAAAGAGAAGTAAAATTGTTTGATTTCCGAATTTTTAAAAACTATTCTTAAATCAGCCATATTGTGGTGCATGTGTCAGACAGTGTTTTTCTTCCCAAGTTACTCTAGAGAACATGGTGAATATATTTGTGTGTAAGGTCTCGAACTGGGGTTTTGTGGCTGACATTGCTATTAGAGTGGAGGAGGTCTGAGATGCCAGACCTCATAGCAGAGAAGTAGAGTTCCAGCCACGAAACTCAAGATGCAAAGTTCAAAGTAAGTAGGTTGAGAGAACGGTATTAAGGTAGGCAATAATGTAGTCAGAAGGTGGACAAACCCCTGATTTTTAGAAATTTTATTTTTAGGTGGCATATTTTCCAAAGGTAAAGCTTTGCTGATTGAGGCAATAGTCTCTCTTGGTGGATTGAGTCTAATAACCAGCTCTTAAATGATAAGCTGAGACTAAATCCTTATAGCTTTAGTCTTGAAATGGTGAAGGTTTTTTTTTTTCTGTTTCACAACCTATTTCAAATTATTTGTAAAAGTGGTTGATGCAAATTGAAAATGTTTTCATGAAATGTTCAGGAAGAAAATGACTGAATTGTAAGCATTGTGAAAATTTAAACTTGTGAGCAAGTTACAGATGATGAAATATTTCCACTTAAAAAAAAAAAAATTAAAACCTTTTGAAGGTGAATGTCAGAAGAAATAGTCTCAGAAGACAGATGTTGTCATTGCAAAGCTGTTAATATCTATAAAGAATTCTAGTGATGAATATGCAGATGACTTGCTTTGTAGAACCGAATTTTCTCTTCTAAGTTTTGTGGTTTTTTGGAATTAAGAAGCTCTATCTGTGACAGAAATACTACTTTCAGTACTATTTCATCAGAGTGATATCAGTTTATATTCTGCATACAAATAGTTAATCACTTCCATGTTTCTGAAAATGCAACAAAGAAAAAAGGATTATATTGTGAAATTTTAAGTACTTTTTAAGAGGATTGAATGAAACTGCATATATTTACACTTTTCATTATTTTAATTGAAAAATAACTCTTGGATATAAACACAAGCTGATCTATCAGGGATTCATTAGGTGGAAGCAGCAGTTTAAAAGGGAGTTGCTAATAGATGAAAGACAAACTGCAGTTATGTAAATTAGGCTTGGGTCTATGCAGCAGTACCTGGATATTCAACTTGCTTTTCAGAGGTATGACTATACAAACAAACAGCTGGTGTTTCAGTGCACTTTGTAGGTATTTTCCAAGCATGTTCAGTGGTTCAGGGCTAAATAAAAGAGATAGTATAATACATGAAGTTGGAGTAGAAGCATCCCATATGTCATTATGTAGCTGCCTAGTCTGCCAACATGCTTTTAACTTTGTGTTGGAGTGGTGAACAGGGAGCCATTGTGTTATGGCGTCTCCCTATGATATATGTGACAATTTGAATTGATTTTATGTTTGCAGTTACCACCAGTGTGGAAATGATGCATTTGTGCATTTTCATTTTTGAAAATATTTAATAAAGAAAAGGTGATGTGTTGCAAATAGCTTTCCTTTACTTAACACAATCCACCTTTGGGGGCAAAAAATGAATAAATACCAGTGTATGCAGAGAAAATTATTTACAATGCTTTTGTTTTCCAAAATGCATTATTAAATTTTGTCTGGTGACATCACTTTGCTTTTTGTTTACCTGCCACATTGGATCATTTTTATCAAGTACGTCTGCTAGCACAGGATCACAAGAAATGCTCAAATTAGCTAAAGGATAAATGTGAGGTATCAAACTCTGTTCTGTAGAATAGACATTTAAAATCTGATGAAGATTTCTGATTTGTTGGTTTGGGGTTTTTTTTCCTTTCTCGTGTGCACATTCTTTTTTTCCCACTCTGAATATTGTGAACCTCTAAAAGATAATAATTTTATTCTTAATTATACTGTGGTGAATTGCTCTGTGTTGATGTTACTTCAAATGTTTTCTATAATAACTTTTTTCTTTCCTTCATGTTTTTCAGACTATGGCACAGGCTCAGGGTTTGGGGAGGAGATACATTAAAGCCTTTTTTAAAGGTTTCTTTGTTGCCGTTCCTGTAACTGTGACTTTTCTGGATAGAGTTGCCTGTGTCGCAAGGGTGGAAGGAGCATCAATGCAGGTATTGCTGGAAATATCTTTTGTTTGTCAGGAAATTAAAAGGTGGCTCTCCATTGGTAATAGCAAAGTGAAAAAAATCTTTTTCTCAGTTGTTATTAAATGACATTCTAGTATGGAATAGTCCAGTTTCTACTTTGTTAAATATTTTATGATGTGAATAGGAAGATTTTGAGAACAAAACTTCCCAAAATTCTGTGTCAGTAAAAAGAAAATATATGGAGAAATAGTGATATAGATGGTTTTGATATCTTCCTAGACATTTAGAAACATTTGCAGCAATATAGTTTGTTGCTTGGGATTGAATTGATGACTCACAAAGAGGCTTTATTAATTTTTAGTAGCTACACTATAGTAACTGTATGGTAAAGCTGTTTCTTGCTATACTTGTTCTTAGTTTTGAACACATATGGCACAATTTCAGGGAAGAATACTAAAAGTGGCATGAACCTACTATCATTGCTTATGTTTATCAGGAAATAGGTATCAGTTCGCTGTTTTTACTTTGGTTATATTGAATGCTTATACAGCATAAGCAAGTAAATATAAATATGAGTAAATGTGTAACATTTAGATGATAAATATTTGTGAACACTATTTTTTTTCACCATTTATTTGGTCTTGAAAAAGCTATATTTTAATGTAGACAGAAAATTTCCATGTGGTTACATAGCATTTAAATCATATGCACTGCACATTGGTATGCATCACCACTGATAACTATGATGTATTTTGTTCCAGTGTTGCAACATTCAAATTAGCAGAGAGTAAGGATTTGATTCTTGGATGTCAAGCTCTCTTTTCTGATATAAGCTCAGAACCCTGAAGAGAGGTTTCACAGCAATCAAGACCAGCTGCTGGAGTTTGAATTATGCAGAATTTACACAGGGGCTAGAGAACTTAGGCTTGATCCTGTACTTGGCTGATTTATGTTGAATGTTCTAAAAAGTATGTGGTGGGGAGGAGGGAATGGCCAGGTGGAATTGTGGCTTTTGTGGCAGTCTGTAATCTGATGTTTAAACTCTGTCAAGAAACCTCAGCAGGCAGCTCTCACATCAAGAACAGGGATAAAAATAAAATCTTGTTACTCCAGTAATTCTACAGTCCAAGGCCAAAAGCTAGGTGTAACTTAAGTTATTATTGCCCTTTTCACAGATGTTTTTCTGAATATCATTGTTGACCAGTGAAAGAGAGGACAATCTCAGGGCTTGCAGTTGCAGAGCCAGAAATTTGCACTAGAAAGGAGAGGAAGGGAAAACTGTGAAAAAAACCTGTTTTGTTGTCTTTTTACTATCTTCAGGCAGGAGGACTTCAAATATATAGCACAGCATCTAGAGAAGGACAAAATTAGCCAGATGAGTACAACTCCTCTGTTTTTCATCTTCCCATTTTTTGTCTCAATTGCAGGTCTAGAGCCACGTGGAATGTTTTAAGATGGAGATTCATGTTAGATTTTCTGGTTTTGGCTTTCTGCTTTTGTTTGTTTCTGTTTTTTGGGTGGGTTTTTTGCTACTAGTGGGTATGACCTGAGAATTTAAATTTTGGAGTGTTGATTTTTTTAGCATACCACATTGCCATTTATTGTTTGATCTTTTTCTGCCTCTGATGTTTTGTTTGGTTTGACATCCATTATTGCTCAATAGTTTTGGTTCAGTAGCTGGAAAGAAATTTCTTAGATTTCTCTCTCCACAAGTCTATTGTGCCCCTCTGGTTAGTACCTCAGCTTTATGTTATCTTTGAAGTCAGTCCCAAGTGTTTGAGAGTGCTCTGGTATTGTTTCGGGGTGTTGCTTTGCTACTCACTTGTAGAGCACATAGTTGACTGTGTGACTTACTCATGGAAGATTTCAAAAACACTACAGGCATTTGCTTAGATTTATTTAACCTGACAAAGGGAAAGCAATATATATTCACTGGATTATTAAAACTGAAGCTTTTCCCTTGCTGTATCTCTTAATTAAACATTCCCTCTGTTGATTGACAAATGGATAGCTTGAAAGCTGACATTTATAATTTTACTGACACCTCAGTGTCTGTAAAACTCTCTGGTTTTATTCTGAAACAGAACTGAAATAGAGGTTTGTTTTAAACTTTTATGCATATGGCCATTTTTCAGATTGAAAATAAAAATCCTAGTGCTTTTAATAAGATACTAATTTCTTGGCCAAGATTTATTAGACATCTAAGCAAGTCTGACAGGGACACAATTATAAGGAATATATTCCTCTCTTTAAGAGTAGCTTGAGGGAGTGCCGGTCATGTTGTTCTGCCTGTTAACTGCGTTCTTTGGAGAGTGATCTATCTCAAATATATCTGAAAGCCATAGGAATGAGCAAGACTGAGGTTCAGTGAGTTAGTTTGAAGTCAGATTGTATCCTTCAATCACATGCTTCCAGTCATACCTTATTGTCTCAATTTGATATCATGGTGAGATTCCCAAGAATCTGTTTGCTATAGACCTCTAAAATGTCTAGCTGGCTTTGTGTACTCATAATTATGGCTTCTGTTGAGCCTGAAATTAAAAGTTTTGACAAGAAGCAAGAAATAAATTTCTGTGTCATGCTTGCTCTCCTACTCTTCTTCTCTGCTATGTGCTTTCTCTCCCCCTACACTTTCTCCATTTGTTCTGGACGAGCCTTACTGCTGCTTCGTAGTTACTGATTATGGGAACACTTTTTGACACCCTGGCAAGAATATGAATAAAGCTTCTAATGAAAACAAAAATTTTCTGACACAACCAATTAATCCAGACTTCATGCATTCTATTGTCTCCAGCTGATTTTGTATTTTTCAGTGCCTTCAGCCACCTGTTGTAATTTCACTTGTGCTGACTTCAGTGTATATGTGTTTTAACTCTAACCTATAGGGAATAACTGTGGCCTATTGCAGTTTATAATCTTAACAGTTTTTATAGTTTCATTACCTTCTCTTTTATTTCCAAATTTACTGGGTTTTTTAATCATCACATGAGGTAGTTTTGTTGCTTAGGATTTTAGATTGATGTGCTCATCTAGCATTTTACTAATAGTGTGTTTCTAGTGAGTTGTAATCTGCTTACAACATTAAATGTAAGTTAAAAAAAATAACTAAGTTTTCGTAATTGATTGTTGCGGATTTTTTTTGGTGTGACTTCTTGTAGTGTGGACTATATACTTTAAAATGTTTGTTGTCATGTGGACATCTTGATATTGATTTGTGTCATTTCTTACTGAGTTTCATTGCTTGTCTGGTATTACAGACTCTTCATACATAAAGATGTGGAAAAGGAAACCCTCATGGATATAAATTTGTAAATTCATTCAATCAAATGGACTGTTTCCAAGTGGGATAGAAAATGACAGCGTATGTGCAGCTTTATATGCAAGTTCTATTACAAACAGTTCAATACCAAGGATTACAGGAAGTGGCCTGAGCAGCGATCTCTGATGAAGCATTCATGTTTCTGCAGCAAACATTATTGAATGTTCTATTCCATTATGCATAATAGCAGTTGTAATTATTCTGTGGCAGTTTCTCCTAACTTTATTATTAGGATTACTGTACCTAAGCCTGTAAGCTCATGTGAATATTCTTTGTGTTCCCCAAGCTACAAGCAAATAAGTTGTGACCTTCACTAGCAGCATAACAACTATCAAGTTAATCATTATTTATAGCAAAGGGGCATGTTTTTACCCTTCTACTTATGGAACCTCATGTCCTGTGAGGCTTCGTCATATGGCTGGGGATCTCAATTTGCGTGCTTTTAGCATTAGATTAGTTAGTAATTGCAAAGAGTAATGTTTTGTGGCTTCTGCGCCACAGTTTAAATTAAGACCTGTGTGCCTTATTTGTAGCAGGCTTTTGTGCCAAAAACTTGAGCAAAGAAGTTACAATGCTTCAGACTAGAAGGAAGAAAACTCTGTGTAATTCTTTGTTTCTTATGAAAAGCCCTTGTGACCCTATTTGTTGACTCCTTTTGCAAAAGCTGTATTTTGATTTTGCTAGATCTGAAACCTTAACAGTAGTTAAAATATCATGAGGAATAAGTTGTATTGTTTCTATACTTGTTTGTTGTGGAATCTCAGGTAGTGTTATTTACAATAGAGAAAGGCTTGCTGAAGGATTTAGCCTTTTATTTTTTTAATAGACAGCAGTGATGATGTAAATGAATAGTTGTCTCCTAGTTTTCCTTCAGTTACTTTTAAAAAAATAGTATTATTGTCTGCATGTTTGTCAGGTTTTTTGGTTTTTTTTTTGAGAGAGAAGAAAAAAGCCTACACCATCGTATTTTTCTCAAACTCCATTCTAATGTATAATGAGTTGAATATCAACTCTGTATGTCAAAATGAGGTCAAGTGTTGTTAAAAATGCATTTAGAGTGCTTTAAGTTAAACAAGCTTTTGCAATATCTAAATGTATTTAAATTCTAAGGTATTTCTTTTTTTAAAATGCAGAAAAAAATAGGAGTCAACTGGGATAGTGCAACTAGGACAATACTGCAACTACCTGATGTATCTCTGTAAGATGTAGTTGATGTAAGTTTATGTGATACAAGAAGTGTGTGAACACTTATTTAGATATATTCTGAGAATCAGCTGTGGGATACATTATCTTTTAGAACAATGGTTTTAAGGTTTCTATTTAAGGTTTCTTCCTCCTCTTTTGGCTTTTGACCTTTGAGTAATAAGGAGTTTACTTTGTGGGAATGTGTCATATGTATGATTCCTGGTTTGTAAGATTGGCCTCTGCCTTATACTTAGTGGTGTTGAAAGCTTCTGGCCCCTATGTACCTGCATTTGGCAAAGTGAGTATGACTGATTTGTTTGAGTTTGTATGTAAATCACTTGTATGTAAATATTTGATCCTTTGGTGGAAAATGCTGTAAAGGTGATAAATAATTCTGGAAATGTTGATTAAAAACTACTAATAGAAGAACTGCTAATTAGGTCCTGGTTTTAATTTATCTGATTCTTGCAGTGCATTGAGTCTAGTAAATAAAAGAGCAATGAGTATTAATATATTTATAGCTTAGACTCAGACCATATCTCTATGGATATTAAAGTGATCTGCTTTGATCTCCTGATTTTCCTTACTGGAAATTTGCCTGTAGCCCAAAATGTAACTGGCCTCGTTTGCTCTTTAACTAAACATATGATGTCATATCCCTCCCCCTCTCCCTATCATGTTTATTCTTTTGACCTAACATATTGCTTACTGTTCATGTGAATTACATCTACTGAGGACCCTACCACATGACTTCCTCTTGCACCTTGAAAAACTAATTTTTTGCAAATCCTACTAGAAGTATGACTTTGTCAACCAATCTATTTAGCAATGATGAATGAAGAAACTGTAATAAAGAGAAATCAGCACTTCTAAATTGAAGTTAAAAATAAATACTAAAAACCCATTTTAACCATTTTATTTGAGAGCAGTTTACTGAATAACAATAGAATTAAATTTGACACTGTGTAATTACTAGGATTGAGAAGAGTTAATTTCAGTCCCTCTGTTGGTTTACTCATCAAAATTTGGAAGAGGGGAATATAAGCACTGAAAGTCCAGTGGTTTATGTGGCAGTTCAAGTTATAGTGTAAGTGCCTTTTCTACAACAGCAACAAAAAAATTTTTAGCTAATATTGTAGTTACCATACAAAGGAGGGGTAGCTTAATTTCAACATTATGTGCTTTATTGCATATATCACCTAACTCTAGAATATGCATTAGTGATTATCTCTTGGCCAACTTGGGAGATACTGTAATTTTATTTGAAGACCCTGAAAAAGCTTTTTGAGTAATTAACTATTAGAAAACTTCAGTCTGGAATACTCTTAAATGTTTTCTTTCTAGTAAAAGCAGTCTCTGTTTTAAAGTAAGCCTTGCAAAAATAAATAAAGACAGTATTGTGATGGGCTTCTTCATCTCCCCTTTCCTCAGAGTTAAGTCAGAGGCAGCTTTAATCAGGTACCCTGGTTTTGTATCATATCGCACAAAATAATTTTGGGGGATTTGATGTACCTCCTAATTATGTATTAATTACTTGGTTATTTTGAGTCATTCCTGTGGATGGATGGAATGTAGAATAGAAATGGTGATGAAGGTAATTTCACCCCTAAGGAGTTACAGCTGCATTAATTATGAAGAATTAGGAACAGGCCTGCCCTTAATAGGCCACAGCTAGATCCAGTTAGGATGGGTATTGTACAAGAGTAGGTTGGCTGGTTGAGAAGGAAGTTAGAGTCTGTTGGCTCTGCTGTGATGAAGGAGTCAGTACTGCGAGGAGCTGCCTGTGGGAAATCACCAAGGAGGTATGGAGCTTTTGCAATAGAATGACAACATGTGCCCTTTCATGTCCTGTTGTGGAAGGCCCACATTAATTGCTAGTGTCAGTGTGTGCTCTAGGTATAGGGCTTGTTTTTCCTCTTTGCAAAGGATGCTGAGATTAATATGGCTGCAAGTACATACTTCATTTTTAGTGTATTATACTTTTATAAATAGTAAGATGCCTGCAAGGAATTTTTTTTTGTTTTTGTGGGAATAAGTGTACTTGGTTCTCCTTTGATTTTAATATTAAAAGATAAGAAGTAACAGCAATCCCTTCTTTTCATCAGGTTTGCCATAAGTATGTATGCAATGTAATCTGGTTTGCATGCAGTAGTGTGTTAAAAGATGTGAACTAGAGTTTGTCATAAATTAATGACATTTAACATGTCATTTAATGAAGAAGTGTATTTCTTGTAATAAAACAGATTCTTGGCCTCTTACATTAAGTGGGCATGTTTTTTATCAATTTTAATGGGTTTCACCTGTTGATGGAAAGAGAATTAGGTGGAAGATTGATAAAGGAAATGTACATCTAAATGTAGATCTATTTTTCTCCCCTTCTCTCAGCCTTCTTTGAATCCTGGGGGAAGACAAGCATCTGATGTAGTACTCTTGAACCACTGGAGCATTAGAAATTATGATGTACAACGTGGGGACATTGTGTCACTGGTGTAAGTAATTTTGCATACATTTCAATACATGTTTATGTAGATGTTGAACTATCGGTGTTTCATCTACAATAATGTAGGTTTATACATGACCAAGGAACGTAACATTTTAAAAAATGCATTATTGTTATTTCTGTCATCTCTTTTCAAAACTCAGATGTTCAAAGAAGGCATTAACAAGTTTTTACTTAAAAGGAGTGCAATGCAAGGTGTCATGTGATACAATGTGTACCAAAACTGCCAAGAACAAAGAGTTGTGAGATAGAAAATAGCTAAAACATTGTGTGGCCTAAAGGAGTATAGTTTTGAGTTGTTAGGCTATGTACTTATGAGAAAAATTTTCCTTATCGACTAGTACTGTATGTTTTTCTTCCTCGTGAAGAATGTCTACTGAATAAAATTTTAGATACGATCTCAAGGATTCAACTACCTCCCTAAAGGACAAATGGAGCAAAATATAGGAGTCTACATTTAAATTTGGGAGGTCTATGTATCAAGCCAAAAGGTGGCAGTGTTTTGCTGTTGAAAATACTCAAGACTAATAGAGGACAGAAACTCCATTTCAGCCTTAATATAATATAGAAATAGAATGTCCAAGTCCTCATAACTGATGCAGGGATATAATACATACTCATATTATGTGCTTGGAGAGTTTAAGCTTAAGGTTTTAGTTTTGTAAGTGAAATGCACAATATATAAATTGTAACAAAAATGTCTTTGGAAGCCATATTATCAAACTGCCTTTTTGTCATATATCTTTTTTAATTGTCCCATTTTTTTGTCTACCTCTTCACTAGTGGAAATTTGTAAGACAATTTTCTTCTTTTGCTAGACACTTAAAATTTGCACTGTGATCTGTCTCATTTTCTGTCATGTAAAGTTTTCTGTAAATAGTCTAGTTACAAATATGAATTTATTCACATTTGCTACAGATAATATTGCAAAAAGTCTTCAATTTCAGGTCACTTAATGAATGCTGTAAAATGTGATTCTGCCTGTGTGTGCATCCCTCTGCCCAAGTCATGCTCTGGTGATTTGTTTAAAAGAGTCAGTATAACTGATTAGTAATTAATAGACTGAACAGAGAATGAGCACATTGTCTGATAAGGAAACAGAATTAATAGTTTCATTCTTATTATACTCCTTGAACACTTGTGATTCCATCGGAGCCATTTTCATTGGTTATTTTCACTTTGGTATATGTTTGAGCAGGATAACTAGTATTTTAGGTGCTGTGGAGATTTTTGTATGTTTAGAAACTTTTCCCTAATCTTGGTAGAGTTTGTGTAGACCCACATAGAAGGAGTTGTATTTATACACTATATGGAAGCTTTTCTTAGTCTTTAGGAAGTCCACTGGATAATCAGATCAGAGTATTCCCAAAGCACTTTAAGATCAATACAAAAGAAGTTAGACAATGTAAAAATAAATTTATTGGCTAGTTTTATTATAAAATATCATTCAATGTTTACATTTTCAGTAACAACTTTCAAGTACCTCCTGATATGGATTTGTTAGAAGCAGTTTTGGCCTGCTTCCTTATTGTATTGTTAAGTTTGTAATTGTGTGGTAAAATCTTGCAGGATATAGTATCTGGATGTGATTTTGTACTTGTCAGTTTTTGAGAATATTGCTGTACAATGCTTCTATTGTGTAAATAGGTTAATACTTTTATCTTTTTCATTTTGATTGTTTACTTATGATTTCTATAACTCACACATGTGCATGAATTTTACTTGCTGGTCCTGAGGTCCTGATTTAGCTAAGGCATGAATGGGGAAGCACAATGTCCCATCAGGTGCTCCTTTACTGATCTGCTCAGAAATTCTGTTGTGAAAGTGTTGTTGTGACTGAGATAGGCAAATGGATATGTAAACCTTTGTTTTGTATCCTTGTTGGCTGCTTTACATTTGTCCACTGTCTCCTCTTTGCCAAGTTGTAGCAGAAGATAGTTTAGAGGTTGTGGAAGAGTGGTCTTTTGCAGGACAAGAGCTGAAGTAAAATATTGCTTCATGGCTGCTTGACCAGGGCCATTCAAACTCATTTTTGCTCCAAGTTTTGGCTGTTGACCTTCTACTTACAATGGACTTTGCTAGTTGTGATCTCAACAATCCCTTTAGGAATTGTGGTATAACCAGCAGCCATCCAGAATGACATGGTATCTCTGATGGTATGAAGAGAGCAAAGAGGTGAGTCACTCTTGGTGGTCCTGGATGCCCCAGAAGAGAATCAGTGAGCCTGTGGTCATGATCCTGATACTGCTTGCAGATGTGAAAGTTTTTCCTCCATTGTCCAATCTAGTTCTTGATAAATATATATATGTATATATATATACACACACACATATATATATATTTTTTTTTTATGACTTTTGGTACAAATGATCACCCAACTACTCAAGTACTTGATGGTGTTTATACTTGGTAAAGGTACTGGATGAAGACTGCATGTCTCTGTCTTTGCAGTCTCTGTACCTGATGTAGGTGAACCATTCATCTCAATCATAGCTGTCAAATTAGCCATTGTATGCACACGTGTGCATTTACCTTGTTTTAGACAAAATATTTAAAATGGCATTAGTCTTTAAAAATATTAAATTAGTCAGGTAAAACCAATGGAGATGATAAGTTGGTAGCAAAAAATTATTTCTTTAATTGCAGTTTAGTGTTTTACAGATAGTTATATCTTACCTCAGCCTTTAGAATAGTTTTTCCCTTTGGTTTGAACTCATTTTTATTGATACCAGAATTAGGAGAGCTCAATGTTACATGCTGTAACTTTTGAACTCAAAATTTTAAGTTGATTCAGAACTGAGCAAAATGTTATTGTTCTTAACTGGATCACTTGCTCGATGCCTAATTTAGATACTGCTGTATTACTGGGACTTAATAAATTGAAAATCAAAATAGGAATAATTTTTAAATAAGTGAAGTAATTTCAGTTATTCTGTGTTCCAGAATACTACCTTTCCATCTCTTAAATGGATTTAAAAAAATAAAAATGTGTTGTATTTTTAGTGTGGAAAATGCATTTATTTGTCTCCAAAGAGCAAAAATAATAATGTAACACATGACATCATCTTTCAAAGATGAATGCTTGTTTTTGCCTGGCAGACCTTGATTTTTCAGTAACTTTTGTGTTGAAGCAGGCATCTATTTTGTAAGAGCTTAGCTGAGGTAGATCTCAACAGTTGTGTAGAACTTTATCGGATGTTGCAGAATGAGTTATAAGATATGGAGTGTTCTCTCAGCTGGTTTCACTCTGTGAAGTTTGAGTGCCAGCAGCATTGTAGCTGGAGCTGTGTGTGTCACAGTGGGGGTTGTACAGCTCATGCAGTTCCCTGGGAATACATGCTGCAGCTGCACTTCCCAGCACTTATAGAGACAGTGCTCTCCTACTGCAGATTAAGGGATGTTTTTGCCAACGTTACCTGTATGTAATTTGGTTTTTACTGTATGCAAATGCAGGCATTGTTATAAAAAGATGTTGCCAAAGTGTGATTTCTTGGTCTGGAATTAATTTTGGTTGCCTTTATGGAAACCCTCCTGTCCTGATTGTACAATCATACAGTCTTTTTATTCCAAAATTCCTGTGTTAATGTAGAAATGAGTTGGTGTTTAAATTTTCAAATGATGAAAAGTTAAAGCTGTAAATATTTACAGACACTAATTTTAACCTTGAGGTCAAAAAGTAGAGGTTAATTTAAAGGTTGTTCTATGTCTGTAATAGAGAGAACACCTTCTCCAATGTTTGACTGAGAGCAAGAACTTACTTGCTGGATAGGTTGCTAGGTGTCCCTCCATTGCTAATTTAGAATGTCTTCTTGTGTGTCAAATAAAAATAGCTATGCTAAATTAATCTGAGAGAAAAAAAAAAGTGAACCATGCTGTTAGTTCTGTACATCCTGAATGGTAACATGCTTTTAAAAGTATGAACTATAATAGCTAAATGAGCAGTATGTTTAGAAATATGTTTTTAAAGGTCAGCTATAGAAATAAGGAAATAAGTGTTGTATATTTTGTCAGCTTCTTTTGAGCGCTCATATAGGAGCATAATTGCTTTAAATACAAACCCAACTTTCTACATAGAAAATGCCTTGACATACAAAAAAATTGCAAATCATACTTCTTGTCTCCTATCCTTCTTATCCTTATGAGGGATATTAAGTGGCTTCTGTCACTTCTTCCTCTACGATTATGCTCAGACCTTTCAGTAAACTCCTTTATTTTGGGTAAACTGCTAAGCGTTTGTGTGAGCTTGATCTTTGAAAAATGCAATGCAGATTATCATTCTGGAGGAAGAATCAAAGTACTGCATTTGAGGTTGTTTCTGCTGCTGTGTCCCTCACTGGCATCTGTTCAGAAATGAGAACTGGAGAAGATAATTGCGGTGTGATTTCATGTGAGGGTTCAACAAGTTTCAGCCTGTACGTGCAAATCTGAATAATGCAATTTTTGAAGGAATGTAGTCTTGTTTAGTTGATGAAAACAAAAGAGTTCCCAAATGGTGCAAACTGAATATATGCTATTCATAATAGATCGCTAATTGGAATTTCATTATTGAGACTAGCTTGGTAAAATAAATATCAGTAAGAAGGTATTTATTGAAGGAACTGCCTTGAATTTGAATTAGTTGTAATTATGAAAATATTTTCTACTAAATTCTGGTAGCTATAATGTGAATGGCTATCTAATGGTTCTTGCATTACATTTAAGAAAGTTTCTTTCTGACTGAAATACTGGACAACCTTTCACAAATACCTCTGCTTGGCCTTCTTAAGTCTTCCAATTTCTGTTCTATTTTTGTTTGTACTTAGGTCTCCGTACCAAGTCATCTGTCTTCTGGCAGGTAGGACACTGCAAAGGAGGTTGTGCTGACACAGAAGCTAAATAATCACTTTAGTTTCTGTGCCTCAATGACCTCAGAAAATCTTTTCCTATTCTGTTATTTTAGCTGGGAAAAAAAAACTCAAAACCTCTCGTCTTTTCTTGATAAAAATCAAA